TCCTCCTCCTCCTTCTTCTTCTTTTTCCATTGTTGTTAGGTTGTTAGTTAGACAGGGTTTCTCTGTGTAGCCCTGGAACTTCCTCTGTACAGCAGGCTGACCTCAAACTCAGAGATCTACCTGCCTCTGCCTCCTGAGTGCTGGGATTAAAGATGTGCACCACCACTGCCTGGCTCAAGCTGTTTAATTATTCATAACTCCCTGAGATCCTGAGAACACGCTGAGCCTCTGTGCCCAGCCTGCTGTAATACCTGTTCCCTCCTACGCATCTTCAGCTGTTCCATTCCTCTCTCCCTCTGGCTAACTACTTACCTAAATCTCCACTTGTGTTTATTCCCTACTGTTCAATAATCAGAAACTTCTGCGTTTTGATGCCATATTAACTTACATGGTAAGACTGTTCTGATGCTGGGTCCACTCTTGGGGCACCTGATGGGAACCAGGGAGAGCTTTAAGTCAGGCTAAGCCTTTTTGCCAGCTTCTCATTGCTCTCATTTTATATCCCATTTCCCCCTGGATACCATATTACTTTCATCTTCCCTTCTCTTCTGTGATCCCTGAATCTTCCGGGATCTAAAATCATCTTTACCCAGGTTCACTATGATGTAAAGCCAGAAGTACATCTCAAATGGACTATTCTCTTCTGCAAAGGCGTCTTATAGTACATGCAGCTCACATAAAATAAAAAGTATGAAGACTCCCAATGTTTACAAATATAAGGCCAAGCTAAAACAATGAGTAGCTTTGTGTATTTAGAGTTACCCTGGCAATAGTGAGTATAGAATTTTGGGGATAAAGATGAGTGTCTCTGCACTGTCTTCTCATTCATACACTGTGGCTTGGCCTGAGAGATGGCCCAGGGGGTAAAAGCACTAACTGCCAAGCCTGATGATCTGAGCTGAACACTTAGTGTTTGTAGTGAAAAGAGAAAATTGACTCTTGAAAGTTGTCTCTGAACCACTCCACACCACACACACACAACATGCACCATGGCACACACATGCCCGCACACATACAAACACAAATAAATGTAATTAGTTACTTATTTTAGAAGCATGCTTTATGCATAACAGAGGTTTACATATTATATACCACAATAGAAGAATTTAATATTGTCTTAGAAGAAAAAAATCAAGAAATTTCAGTTTATAAAATCCCTCATTGTATGATTACTTACCAGGCTATTTCCTGATATGCCTGCAAGAAATTAAACCAGGTTCAGGTTGGAGAGGTCACATCAAGACTCAGGCTGTGACAATTTTTATTGAGAGAAATCAGACTTTTTATTCCCTTATCAGAAATAGAATACAGTGGCAATTACAATACAGCTGTTGCCAGGATTGGAGGGGGGATCGCCCCCACTTTTTCCTCAGGGTACTCTTGAGTAGGGACAGATAAGAGATTTAGATAAAAAAAAAAAAATAGAAGAGAGAGACAGATAGAAACACAGGATAGCCTTGGGAGGGCCTGAATGCTTATCCACAGGCCCCTTCTGTCTCTTCTAAAGGACTTTTTATAGAAATGCCAAGGAGTGGAGCAAAAGACCTCCTCCTAGCACAGCCAAGTGCAGACCCTTCCAAACACCTGGTAACCATGCACGTGATCGATCCATCCCCTTATGCAGCCCTGCTGGGTAAAGCAAGCTCAGATCTCACTAGGAAACCTTTGTGGACTCCCACACAGGATACAATGACTATACAGGGTCCACAAGATTAATGCCTAAGACCAGTTGTCCTGTCAGGCTTCCATGCCTCCTTGACTTCTGAGGGAATATACAGAGAAACACAAAGCAGCCTGAATGCTTCACTACCTGAGGGAGTGCCTAGCTTTCTCAGGAACTGAAAGGCTCACAGTGTCCCAGGAGCTATGAACTCTAACCTGAAAAACCCATGATGCATGCCTCTCAAGGAAGCTAGGCTAGGCCAACTTCATGATTCCCTGCACCTCACCTCAAAACATCTTTTAATCACTTGTCCTACATGACTCAGTGTGACAAATGTGTTCGGTGTCCAGTCATGTCTTGTTCCTATTGCACTAAGGGTCAATGGAATTAAAAAGAAAGCCCAACTTTCACAATTACTGTCTCAAAGGAGCAGCATACATTGGATTCCTATGAAATGTAAAAATAGGTCTGGGTACTTTAATAGACAGTTGATAGTGCATGAAAAAAAAACCAATGACAGAACTGACACTAGAAAACAAATACCTTTATAGCCACTGTCATGACTCACGTGTGCTTTTGTCTGCATTCCATCCCCCCTCATTACCTAATAATAGCCTCTCCTTTCCAAGTTTAGACTGTGTTAGTTACTTTGCTGTTTGATAAATACAATGACCAAGAGCAGCTTCTAGAAGAAAGAGCTCATTTTGGCTTATGGTTGCAGAGAGAGAGAGAGTCCATAATGGAAAGGGAGACGTAGCAGCAGGCAGCCAGAGCAGGAAACTGTGAGCCTATCCAGTAGCTCACAGGAGGCAGAGGGTGCAAGCAGGAAATGGGGTGAGGTTATAAGCCCTCAAAGCTCAATGGCTGTGATGTATTTCAGTAGGCAAGGCTGCATCCCCTCCAACAGTGTGGCCAACTGGGGAACAAGTGTTCAGATACATGAGCCCATGGGGGATATTTTTCATTCAAACCACAATATCCACTACTAACTGTTTACAAACATATTTACATAATTTGCTGGGATCTATATATGAGAGAGAACATGTGGTTCATTCTGAATTTGGATCATCTTGCTTAATACATTTTCAGAGTCCTTCTGTTTTCCTGAAATTTTCATGATTTCATTTTTTTATTTCTAAATGTATATTGTATATACATTTTCATTGTTCATTTATTGATGGACATTTAGGATGGTTCCATTTCCTGTCTATTGTGACTATAGCATCAATAAACATGGATACACAGTGTCTCTGCAGTAGGATATGGAGTCCTTTGGGTATATGCCCAGGAGTGGTGTATCTAGATTATATGGCAGTTTTATTTTTAGTTTTTTGAGGAATCGCCAGACTGATTTTCATAATGGTGTATTAATCTGCACTCCCCCCCGTCAGGCAAGAATAAGGGTTCCTAGTTCCCCACATCCTCTCCAACAATAGTCAGATTTTTGCTTTGTTTTGTTTTTTGTTTTTCCGAGACAGGGTTTCTCTGTGTAGCTTTGCGCCTTTCCTGGAACTCACTCTGTAGCCCAGGCCGGTCTTGAACTCACAGAGATCCACCTGCCTCTGCCTCCCGAGTGCTGGGAATGCCACCACCACCACCACCACCACCACCACCACCACCACCACTCAGATTTCTTGATGACAGTGGTGGTGCAGTATTCTAGAGTAGTCTTAATTTACATATCCCTGATGACTAGGGGTATTGAACACTTGAAAATAGTTATTGACCATTTGTGTTTCTTTTGAGAACCTTCCATTTCATTAGCCCATTTCTTGATTGGCAGCTTTATTGGTGTTTAATTTTGGAAATTCTTTGTAAAAATTCTGGTTATTAGCTCCCAGTCTGAAGTAAAGATTTTTCTCCCATTCTGTAGGCTGTTTATTTTTGCTCTGCTGATAATTTCTTTTGTTCTACAGAAATTTCTAAATTTCATATAGTGCCATATGTTGATCCCTGGGCTAAGATATTTCCTGTGCTGTTGAAATTCTGTTCAGAAAGCTCCTGCCTACTCCAATATATTGAGTATTCACTATGTTTTTCTCTAGAAGTTTCTGTGTTTCATGGGAGAAGGAAAGAGCTTACAAACACTGAACTCTGTTTTGTTCATGCTGAAGTATTTAGGCAGAGGAGTATTGTTGTCTTCAGACCCCTTTGAAATGTACCAAAAATTAAGAAACATTGAAAAAATGAATAAAATGATAAAATAATGGATATTCATGTAATGTAATATATGAAAGCAAGTACAGTATAGTGTTGATTGTAAAAACATGTGGTGAGTGCTGTGGAATAATCATCTTGTACACTGTAAAGATTTTTCACTCAAATTGGTTTACTAAAACGCTGATTGGCCAGCAGCCAGGCAGGAAATATAGGTGGGGTGACCAAACAAAGGATGCTGGGAAGGAGAACAGCAGAGTCAGGAGTAGCCAGCCAAATACAGAGGGAACAGGAGATGAACGATGAATGTGCCATATTAATAAAGGTATCACCATGTGGCAGAATATAAATAAGGAAAATGGATTAACTTAAA